TGACTTCTATTATTCTGATGTCCTCCTTTCCCACAGTTGCCAGTCGGGGTGTGGGATCGGCCCTGCCCCTTTCGGCCCCTGCCCTTCGATCTCCCTCTAGGGTTCTTATCCTGGGCAGGAGCTGCACTGGATTTTCGCCCCGCGCTCGGCTGAGCCGGCGCGGCATTCTTGGGCTTCTTATGATTGAAGGGACAGCCCTTTCCAACGTGCGGGCAAATTTCGCCCTTGTGCACGTATCGGCACGTGGTTTCGCCCTTAGTCTTTCCGCTTTTCATGATATCAGAAGATTTCCCCAACTTGGCAGCAATCTCTGCCGGGGCGGCTTTATTTACTGCCTGCATTCCTCAGATTGTCATTGCCTCCGCCTCCGCCGAATCGTGCTTGCCTAGCACGTTGGTTCAAGGTGCCCTCATGCACACTGATATTCCACTCTTCTTCTTTTTCTCGCAACATCATTTCTTCAATCTGCTCCATTAGCCATTCATAAGTTGTTACGCCATGTCCCATGTTATCTTTTGACAAGTCGTATAATTGGCATACGAAGTTCAGTTTGTTCGGTTTCCTGCATTGCCCGAGAAAATATGCATGAATCGAGGCCCTCATCTCATCGGACGGAGGCTTAGCGCCATAAAGCTGTTGATATACGTCTGTCCATTCATTGTAGAAATGATACAGGTCAGCATCAGGCTTGTGCGGGTCTGTGTTCACCTTGAAGAGGTCGCGTGAAATGCGACGTTATCCCAACTCCGATCTTACCGAACACCAGTGACAAATTGTCCGCACCATCTCGCGTCCAGTCATGAGTCTCCCCTCGGTCTGGGCGCAAAAATCCATGCGAGTAGCCTGTTGAAGGACATGAGTATGATGAGCAGGCTGATATCGACTCTTTCGCATCTTGTTAAATTTGTTCGATAAGATTTGTTGCGACCATGAGGTCGAGACGCTGGAATCGTCCAGCATCTCTGAGTTGCTCATCCTCCACATCTGGATCCATAGCCTCATCAATCCAGTGCTGTGCTGCCTGGCTCTCGGGCGATGATCCAGCGATTGCACGTATTGCGTGCATTTTCCATTCACGAATGTTCGTTACTTCAAAGATGTCCATCAAATCAATCTTCTGATTGTTACCTACCTGTCTCCACTGATATAACGGCGTACTCTCGTCAATTACTACTGAGTCGCGCGGTCCGCCGGGGCCCTGAGGCCCCCTGCGCCCACCCCCATCTTCAGAGGGGTCTGACCCCCCTGGGCTACCCGGAGGCGACCCACGTGGTTTTCTACCACGATCATCTTCGTGCGAATATACGATCTCAGTTTGGGGGCGTCGCTCTTTGCCTCGCCCGACGACTTAGTCGCCGTCGTTCCCGTAGGACCGTCTCCATAGGGCGGGCGGAGATTGGCAAGGGCGTTGCCTTCGTTAGGTCCAGTTAGCCTCATCCCTGCAGGAAGTCCATTCTCACCGGCGCTCGGCTTAGCCGGACCTTCTAGGGCAGGGCCTGGAACAGTAAAATGTTGAGGCAACAGCGGCCTCACGGGAGTTTCTGGCGAGAACAACGGAAAACCAAATGACTTCGATGTGGGTCCGGTATCTCGTTTATTCTCAGTATATGGAGTCGGGTCGGCGATGATCGCCTTAAGCCTCATCTTTCCTTTCTCTGCAAAAACTGCGTTCGAAATAATCTCTTCTCCTCGCATATTGGCAGCTGACCTTTCACTCTTCCACAGGTCGCATCTATAGCATCTTTTAGTGCTCGCATCGATGTGTTCTTTGCACGCCGACCTCCCACATCCGACGCAATTGTCCGTTTTTTTGACAAGAACAAACGGCGCAAAACTGATGAACGGGAAATGCGTTTCCCTTCTCCTCGGGAGGAAGATGCATTGCACCTCCTACCAGCATGGTCGATGTTCCCGCAGTAGCCAAGGTCGTCTGGTCAAAATGCGCAGGGATGGATATTACTTTCGACGACTGAGCCGTCGGCAATTGGTGCATGTTCGACCCAGTCGGTTTAGCCGGCGGGCATTGGGCATTGCTCGACATTATGCGCTGGAGGGAAGATCTAGCTTTCTCATGCGATTTAAGCTCTTCCAGATAGAGATTGTTCTGGTCGGTGATCTTCGCAGCTACAGCTTGGGTGTTGTCTGCTTCCAGCCTGGCGGCTTTGAGCTCTTCTTGTAAGTCATGTTTTTTCTCGTTCCGCCATGACTGTCGCAATTTGTTCTCCTCCTATCCTGGCCACCGCGACGGCAGCGGCAACCGCATTGGCGTCAGCAGATTCTTCGTTTGCCATCATGACGGCCCGTCTTTCCGAAGTCAATAATTCTCTGCATGTATTTTCAGCTTCCCTCTCCACTTGCCATTTCACGGCCTCAGTCTGATTGTGCAGATGTTCTATCAGCGCCTGTTCACGCTCTCTAGCAGCCATGGCTAGGGCGATCCGCTCAGCCTCAAACGTTTTTCTAGCTTCGATCACAGTTGCAGTTAATTCTTCTCTGTCCAATCGAGCCCTGTCAGCCAGATGCGCTTCATTGGCCAGAAACTCTCTCTGAGTGTTAGCCTCTGCTAGCCTGGCCTGGTCTTGAATAGACTGCATGAGGAGGTACGTGCAGTTATGCTCGTCCATTGGGTAACACTCTGTGCACAACCATTGCATGTTACACTTGTTGCAGCCGTCCGAGCAACTCCTGCACGCTGGGTGCGCCGTCAGGCCTGTTGGCTTTTCCTGGGCATCTGCTCTCCGCCTGAGGCGCGCAGCCAGGATTGGGATTCCAACGTGCCTTCATCATAGAAACTGTGCTGTTGCCCCTTGAAGTGGACCTCGCCCCTGATCTTGGCATGTTGGGTCTTCCCCTACTCGAAGCATTCGATCTGGGGCGCGTAAATGTACTTTCTGGTGGTTTAGGCGCATTTAAGAGCTTCTCATCCTTTTCGTCTTGTGTTATTACCTGAGTATACGCATCTAGTTGTCCGACCGTTTTTTCATCCTCAACAACAGCTGGAATAGAGGGATGCCACTCACGTGAGGTGGTGACATTACGGAAGAAACCTTTCTTTAATGGCGAGACGTCTAGCTCGTAGTCCTCATTCCGTTGTTTCTTGAGGTTAAGCGCAGGGGTTCTTCCAGTGGGCTCCCTTTCATGATTCATCTGAGCCTCCGTCCTGTCCGCCTGAGGCGTCAGGATACTAGTGTCTTCATCGGATCCATCTGGAGACCATCTTTCGTCTTGAGCAAGGATGTTTTCTTCCATCGTCACGGACAACGCTCGGCTCAGGGAAATAGCATTAATGATGCTATCAATCTCTTCCTCCATGGAATATTTTTCATGATCTTTGTCTCTTGGATCATCACTATCCTGACCGAATTGTCCGCTAAGTGCTATAGGGGTCGGGGCGTTAACATGCATACCCACCTATTCTGTCGGGATATCAGGATATGTATCCAGATTCCCTTGGGCCCCCCCTGGCCGGCTGGCTTCGCCAGCGACAATGGCAGTAGCTTGTGGAGCATTCTGGATGGAGCTTATTGACTCCGTCGATTTGGCTCTCCATGACGAGAATGCACCTCGCCTGGGTCTTGGCGTGACGCCATCTCGCCCGTGAGGGTCGGGGGTTTGCTCACGATCACCTATCGGAGCCCCTGCGGGGGATACGTCTACCGACATTTTGGTTATCCCCTCGGCATTTCTCCCCCTCACGACCCGATCGGCGACAGATGAAAGAGGGGCTCGGTCATGAACGGGACCGTCTCTGTCTGCATCGTGTCCATCATGTTGTTCAACGCGCCCATCAGCGCTTCTCGTGATATTGGACACGATACTAATCTTATCGTAGCTCTCTCCCGCAGCGACTGAGTCGCGGGGCACGACTGAAAGATCTTCTTTTGTATATAACGGCTCCTCGTCGACTGAGTCGCGCGCTTCGGCTGATAACCAGACTTTCCTCTGAGAATCGGGGTAAGATGACAAAGGAATTAAGATCTCATGTTCACTCTGCCCAGGGAGAGCGGAGGCGGGATGAGTCATTGATAAGACAAGTATCCGTTAAGCAAGACTACTCTATCAGGAATGTGAAGGGAGGAGGCCGGCCGAGGACAGACGACGACGTGCCGCCCGCGCACCCCAGCGCGCTCCTTTTCTCTCCTGCCAACCGAGGTCGGCTGGCTCGAGCAGTCGTATGTCTGCGGAAACGCAGCTTCAGTTCACACGGACAGCGCAATGCATGCAAACTAAGTTAAGTTTTAATTGAATATGAGGCGGAGAAAAGCATATTTACTACATCAGCATCAGCATCAGCATCAGCATCATCATCATCGTTATCGTCGTCAGCATCATCATCACCAACATCATCATCGTTATCGCCATCATCACCACCACCACCGCCATCACCATCATCACCACCACCATCATCATCATCAGCAGTATCATTTTCGCCACCATCATCAACGCCATCATCACCATCACCATCAGTAGCAGCGACATCACGATCTACATCGCCACGGTCATCAACGACGACGCCCCCTTTTCGTCCCCGTCCTCACCCACTTCTCCTGCCCCCGTACTTCTTCCTCCTTAATTCCTGCCTCCTCCTCGCCAGGCACCGGCCGCCTGCATTGACGGCCGCAACTCCGCGTCCACCAGGCCCGCCGTGTCCTCGAAGGTGCCCCACTCCTGGTGGGCCGCCCGCGAGGTCATAGCGATCCTCCTCTCGCCATCTGGGCCTCCGCCGCCGCCGCGACAACGAGGCCCACAGCGGGCTCCCGCGGCGGCGGCCGCTGGCAGGAAGATCCCCTCTCCACGCAAGTTGCTCCCCCCCGCCCCAGCCCATGCCTCCTCTCCTCCACATCATCCTCTCACGGTTGGTTGCTCGTCCGCTCTCCTCTCCGCTTCCTCCATCGCTCGGTCGTCCCTGTCCACGCTCCCCGCGTGCGCTCCACGCTTGCCGAGGACGGCGACGGCAAGCTCGGCATGCGCGAGTGAAGACCTGCGCCTGACTGCACATTTCACATCGCAGCACGATGACCACGAGGAAAAGTGAGACCAACACTGGCAGATCGAGACGCTGTCGCCATAAGGCCCCCGTCCTCCCGAGCGTCGAGGATCTCGAGATCGCGGCACAGAGCCTTCAGCATGTCCTCAGCGGATATGTCCAGCTCGTCCTTGAACTCCTTGAGCTCCTTGCGGGTTTGTCTGACCCCTCTCCCACTACACCCAAGGGGACGGGGGAGGGGAAGTGGAAGAAGAGAAATGGGAGGGGATAAGAGGAGGAGGAGGAAGAGAAGGAGGAGGAGGAGGAGGAGGAGGAGAAGAAGCAAAAGGAGCAGAAGCCGTTGCAACTCGCAGGAGGGAAAGCGGGTCGTCCCGCTCAGCCCAAAGAGAACCAACGGGGGGGGCACACAGGAAGGCGGCTGCTAGGCGAGGCGCCCGGCAACGACAGCTTTGCGCCCGACAACGCTGCTGGATGCCGCCGCACCCGCGCCTCACCGGTCAGGTTCAAGACGAAGAACAGCTACGAGACTGAGACTAGGCAGTCGAAGCCCAGGCTCAATGCGGCACTCTGCCGCATGGGCTCTGCATCGAGGAGGCTGCGGACACCAGCGTGCGCAGACATCGCCCTGCTTGTAGCATATTGCATGACCGACTTGAAATACATGTACGTGATCAGTGCAGATTTCCCCCGTCTTTGCCAGTGAACCTGGTACCAGCAAGGACTATGGCGACGGGGCACAAACCCTAGATGCCACTGGCTGGCATCACACCAGGGCAGACCACCACAGTCAATCCAGCGCCAATGCCTCCCCCTTCGTGTCGCCCGCGTGCCGCTCCGAGGACTATCACCCAGCGGGTATGATGTGCACGTGAGGCACCATGGTATGCCCAACAGCGGTGAGGGCGGCCACATATTCTACGACTACGCCCTCGACGGCCTCACCTTTTACCCAACGAATTTCCACGGCCACTCGATAAACCCGACAACTGCAGCTACACCCTCCAGGGCAACAATAAGGCACTGCTTTCGACAGCCACTTCTGCGGCAATGCCTCCTATTTCAGCACATGCAACGGCTCCACCGTCCACAGCCACGCACTCTAGGGCTACACCTTCCACTGCTACAACCTGTACGGTCACAATTCCGAAGGCAACGCCTTCCGCGGCCACGCCGGCTGCTACAGCAGCGGCCACACCCTCAGCGGCAAAGCTTCCGACAGCTAAGGCCACGCCTTCGACGAGAAGCAACGCGTTCTACGACCAAGTCAAAGGATTCCATCAAGGAAGGGGCTACAATGCCGATGCATGCTTCAATCAGATCGCCTGTTCCCATCCCGATCACCTCGCCGTCCGCCGTTCATCCGAGGCTTCATTTCGCGCTACCACGCGCAGCCTCTTGCAAGCCCGACAAGCTGTGCCATGATGCAGAGCGCGAGGGTTCACTCCTGCTGGGGCTTGATCTGGCCAGGGAGACAGACGCCTTCGGCATACGTACAAAGACACTCTCGGGGTGTGGCCGTCGCCGTGCTCGGCGCTGCGCGGACCAATGTTGACGGAGATGTCCCAGTGGCTGGAGTCCACTGCCAGGCGCGGGGGAGCGCTGGCACTCGCGGTGGTCGCGTCCAGCGCCGCGACGGAGGCTGTCACCTTGCCGCGGGCACGGTCGAAGTAAGTGGTGTTTGGTCCAGCTGGTTTTGCGCGTGATGCACGACTGGAGGAGAACGGCATTGAGCTTGCCTGGGTTGTTCTTGAGCCCCTCTGGTTACGCGCCGCTGAGGCCAGTCGGAGCCGGCCTTGGTCAGGACAGTGACACGCGATTCATTTCGAGCAAGTGCAGTGTCGTATTTGGGTGCTGAGTAGCGGCGGCCGCGGCTGCCAGGGGCGGGGAGGTCGGTGCGTCGGGCGTGGCGGGCGGCGTCCGTGGCAGCCGAGAGAGGAGACGAAGAGGTCGTTGTGTGTCTTGTCTTCTGGGCACGATCCGGATTCGCAAGGGCGGGGGGGAGAAGCCAGGGGGATCCGACTGGGCCAGCGTATTATCCAAAATGGGAACTCGAGCCAAGATGGCAGAGAGAGAGAGATAAAGTGAGAGCGAGAGAGCGAGGGAGAACGAGAGAGAGAGAGGAAAAAACAAAAAAAAAAAAAAACAATTAACTAAAGAAACAAAAATAATTAACAACCGCAACAACAGCAACAAAAAACGGCGCTGATAAGGACAATCTGTCCGGGCGCCCCGCGGCAAGCGGCGGGTGCGCCGATACCGTGCAGCTGGGGCGCAGCATTCGGAGAGAGGGTCGAGAAGAAAACAAACCCCGGCGCACGACGATGACCACGACTAATTGGGCAGGACCGGGGTTCCGAGCTGCGCGCGGCCCACGACCGCTGGCGCCCTGAGGGACTCGCGAGGAGAAGAACCGACGGAAAGTGACGCCGTGGCGCAGGACGTTTCCCAGAACGTGGCGCCCCCCCCACGCAGTACCCATGCGGAGAATGTTAGGGGAAGCACTGCAACATTGGCAACGCCGCTGTGGCAAAACGGAAGTTTGGGATGAAATGCACCAGGGTGCCAGAGGCCTGGCGCATACACCAAGGCGGTAATGACCCGTTGCATGGCTCGGCTCGCCAGTGCATGCAGCCGCGTGCGCTGCAGGGAGCTAGCGGAAGGTGGCTTGGAGGCTGGTTTGCCTGCGCGGCGTTCCCGTTGGGCATTTGACCCCCCCCCGTACCTCCTCCAAAGATGCCTGCTCAAGGGGGGCGTCGTGGCGTTGGAGCGACCAGGATGGCTCTATCCTAATCCAAGGTGGTTCCAGGCAGTCCCTGATTGCTTTTAAGATGGCGCGACAGAGACCAAGCTGGCCCAGATGGCCTTCGACATGGTTCCACGAGGGCACCAAGATGGCCTCGAGGGGCCCCCACGAGCCGGTGAAGCAGTCACCAGGAATAAAAGCCAAAACACCGAATACGTTATCAACATGTTTCGTCGTCGTACCCTTTCGGCCGCCTATGGGCCTCCGAGTCTTCATTATTGCCCCAAGACTGCACAAGGGATCCCCCAGAGGGGTCCAGGAGGGAAACCGAGAGTGGTTCAGAGCGCTCGCCAGCGAGGCGTGGGTGGTCTCGGCCTGTGTTGCGTTGGGTACCACTCCATTCCCGCAGCGAGTGTCTCAGGCTGCTCCCAGCCCCAGCGCAGGGCTGGAGCGGCCCCACCCTCGACCCCGACAAGCGGCCCCACCCTCGACCCTCGTGAAAAGGGCGGGACAAGCGGCCCCACCCTCGAACCAGATACGGGGGCGGGGCATACCCCACTGAACACGCATGCGCGCGGAGTGGGGCACGGATGAGGGGCGCTGGAAGTCTGACTTCGCATCTCGTGAACCCGAATTTCTGCCGGTTGGGTGGGTCCACTGGGCGCGTCAAGCCGCCAACCTGCGGTAGGCGGGGGCTTCCCAAGCGCACATCGGGACCGAGAGGACTGACAGGAGCCGTTGGTCTGTATGAAGCTCACCTCGTTCACCTGCGGAGGCATGGGTTGCGGACGTAAAGCAGCGGATCTGGGATGATTGCCGTGGCCTGCATGCTGCACAAGACGGAGGCAGGCAGACGGAGGAGGGCGTCGGTAAGGTCCTTGGCTTCAGACACGAATGCATTGCAAGCAAAAAGGAGAGAAGCGAAAACAGAGAAGATAACATAATACATGAGACTGGAAGGAACGCTACGCAAATCATATCTTTATTACGTGTAGAGAAACAAATAATGGGAAACACATCCTATACGACCGCCCTGCGGGCGATAAGGAGGTTGGGGGGGACTGAGATCAAATGCCCACCCTGACTGACCTCCAGCCTGTCACCTTGATCTCATCTCTCTCTTTCTCTCTGTCTCTCTCCTCTCTTTCTTTATTTTGGATTATATTGGATTTGATAAGATGGATCGGATAAGATAAGATGGGTTGGATTGGAAGAAATGGATTGGATAAGACAAGATGGATTGGATTGGCCCGCCGCAGGCGCAGAAACAAATGAATTGATGGATTGGGTTGGGTGGATCGGATTGGGTGGAATGATGTAAGATGGGACAAGATGGGTTGGATAGGATAAGATTGATTGGATTGGGCAAGATGGATTGGACAAGGTCAACTGGATTGGATAAGAAAGCCCGCCGCAAGCGCCGAAAACAATATATTATGAAATTAGCGGCATGCGTTAGCGCCGGGACGCCCCAGACACCCGGGACACCCGGGACACCGCCCGGCTCAACTGGGACACCTCCCGACCACCAGCGGACGGGAAACGGACTGTCGCTCCTACTGACACCCGGGACACCCGGGACACCGCCCGGCCCAACTGGGACACCTCCCGGGCACCGGCGGACGGGAAATGGACTTTCGCTCCTACTTCGGCCTAGCTACAGGAGGATCACGCGCAGCTTCGCCTCGCCCGCACGCACGACACGAACACGAAACCGAAACCGAAACCGATTTCACGGTGGGGGGTCTCCGTTTCACTGCGATCTCACCCCCCCACCTCCGACGACAATGGTCAATCGAATAAGGTAAGGCACTGCAGAAGAGAAACCCATAATTCAGGACGAGAAAGTACTCGAATACGATGGGAGAGACAGAAAGGAAGATACTTGGGGACAAGAGAAGGCTAGAGGAGAGAAAGATAACGAACGATAGAGAGAGAGAGAGAGAGAGCGAGAGAGAAAACAGAGAGAAAGAGAGAGAGAGAGAGAGACAGAGACATATAGAGAGAGAGAGAGAGCGAGAGAGAGACAAGCAAAAAAGGCATGGAGGAGGACGCGGACACGAGGAGAAGGAGGCGCGAGATCAGTGCAATGGAGGGAGGAGAGAACACCGCGGGTCGGTGACGCGAGAGGTAAGGAGCCGACATGATGAGTGCGCACACCGGCATAGCCTCGACCGTTCGGCGGCGGCAGAGGTGGCACATTCGCACCCAAATGTACTAATTTCCTCTCGCCTTCTCCCCTTCCGTTCTCCCTCGCCCTCCCCCCCAATTCCCTTTCGCTCCCTTCCCCTGACCAGGTCCCTCTCCGTATTCATCATCGCCCCATTCCCCCACTACCCCTCCCGTCCTCATATCGCTGCGCATCCGAATGCTGACATTTATTCGACGTTCCCCCGGCAGCGTCCTTTAGTAACGCATCGAGCACCTGTTCGACCTCGTCGTTGAGGGCATTGTTCCTCTCCTGGGGCCCACGGTTAGAGATCAGGGGGTCAGGATTGGGCGCAGCATAGCATTTTGACGCATTATCACAATTACAAGCCAGCCACAAGAACCCCGACGTCGTCACCTGTCCTTCCCTCGTCTTCAAAATCCTCTAGACCACCGATCAAACATGCGGCGAATGCCGTCTTGGTGGACCTGGCATGCAGGCTGGCGGGGGCGATGGTGAGGGCCGATGGGCGAGCCAGCGCCACGAGAGCCAAGGACTACCACTCGCTCCTCCGCGTGATGCGCGACGACCAGGTGCCGGAGGTTGAGCGCATGATGGGGTTCAGAAATCTCGTGCCAGATGTTAAGCGCATGATGGGGCTCAGACATTTCTTCGACCGGCAATCAAACGATCTTCGAGGGCACCTCGCGTGTCCGCTCACAGTGACCGTTCGATTTGCCCTCGTCAACCGCGGCGATCTGGTTGCAATGACTTTTCAGCATGCGCAGTTCGATGCGTTTGCACCCATATTCGGCTAGCCCCGGGGCTTCGGCGGCTGACCTCGCGGCTCCGCGCAGTGCTCACGTGACGGACGCTGATGCACCAGAGAACGCGGACTTTCAGTGTCCAGGGCCCCCGCAAGACTGGCTGGGCCTTGATCCATTCGTGGCCGCCTGGGCTGCGATCGCGCTCCGTGGCCATAGGGAATCATCATCATCATCATCATCATCATCATCATCATCATCATCATCAGCATCAGTATCATCAACATCATCAAAAACATTACCATCACATTACCATCACCACCACCATCACAATGAGCACCAGCATCCGCATCAACATCGTCATATTCATGTCATCTGCGTCAGCATGAACATCAGCAGCAGCAGCAGCAGCATCATCATCATCATCATCATCATCATCATCATCATTAAAGCCATCGCCAAAAACATCATCATCATCATCGTCATCGTCAGCATCATCGATATCGCCATCGCCCTGGTCATTGTTGTCATCATCACCGCCACCGTCACCATCACCACCATCACCACCACCATCACCATCATCACCATCACCAGCATCGTCAACATCATCTTCACCAACCAACATCATCGTTCTCATCATCACCATCGTCATCCGCATCATCAACTGCATCCTCACCATCGTTGTCATCATCATCACCATCATCAGCACCATCATCATCAGCAAAGTCATCACTACGATCCCGTTCGCCATCAACATCACCAGCACCGCCATCATCACCATCACCGCGCGATCATCATCATTAACCGCATCACCAAAATCATCATCAACATGATATCATCGTTATCATCACCAACATGATCATCATAATCATCACCATCATCAGCATCATCATCATCATCATCATCATCATCATCATCATCATCATCATCATCAACATTATCATCAACAACATCGTCATCATCGTCGGGAAGTCCCCCACCCGCCCTTGATTCTCAGAGCTGTGTTACCTGTCATCCGCACGTGTGCGAAACCCAACCGAGAGCGACGAGCTGGCGGCGGCAGCGACCGGAGACAACTGAAACCAACACACTTGCCGCTCAAGACTGCGCATGCGCCCCGCCGTGAGCAAAGGCGGGAGGGCGAGCGCCACAGAGACCGGGCGGGAGGCTTGAGCGACATATAACAGACTCTGCACAGCACGCCCTATTCGTTCGAAGGACAAGTCGAGGGTCGCCCACCCGCCCTTGATTCTCAGAGCTGTGTTGTCTGTCATCCGCGTGTGCGCGAAACCCGATCGAGAGCGACGAGCTGGCGGCGGTAGCGATCGGAGATAACTGAAGCCAACAAACTTACCAGACACCGAGTGTCCAAAGATCGCAATCGTCTCTGCGGAGCACGGCAGGGGGCGGACGGGGGACAAATGGAGATTCTGCATGAAGAAACGGTCAAAGCCCCCATCGACAAATACATCGGCCATCGCACTACTTTGAACAGTAGGGCATGCGGCGGCGCACTGAGTAATTACATCTGGCACTTCGGGCCAGCGCAACGCGCGCCGCGCGGAGTCTACCTGCCACGTGTAGGATGACTGCGGGTCCCCCCATAGACAAGGATCACGCATTTGTTGACAAGCTTTAAACATCCTGATGGACTGTTTTATTCGATTGCCCTCGCCAACCGCGGCTGGCAAAGAGAGGGGGGGGGGGGGCGATGGGGGGGGCAAGGGGATGGGCACTGCTTCGGATGGCGTCGTGGCCACCACGAGCGATGGAAAAGCTCTTGCAGGGCGCCCCAGCAAGAAGCCTGGGACACTTGTCACTCTTGAGCATTCGAATTACACGACGCAAGACGGTTGGCCGAAGGAGGTCTCCCATGGGGGCCTCGCAATGCATCAAAAGAGAGGACGGAGAAACCGTTCTTCCTGAAAGCTTGTGAGAAGTGCTCAGAGCCCGAGAACGCCTCAACAGAAAAGAACTGGCCTGCCTTGGCGCGGGAGGACCGAAGGCGAAGCCTCTCTGTCAAGCGGCGGTCAACAGCGCGGGCAGCTCGGCCTCCGCGCGGAGGGGGCACTCGCGCACCTGCTTACGCATCTGCATCATCGACGCCTGAATCAGCCCGCGCTTCTCGTAGCGTCGGGCCGAGGCGGGCTGCCTCCATCCCGCCAGCGAGATCCGCCATGTGAGCCTGTCGGTCGAGGCGCCGCTGTGCCACGCCATGTACAAAGCGGGCTGCAGCGTCTCGAGATCGAGGGAGATGGCCGCGCTGTCGAAGGCCTTCCTCGCGTGCGTCATCGTGAGGGTCTGGGGCAAGTACGTCGGCGTGTCCTGGCTCTGCTTCGCGACGAGCGGGGCCGGCCTCGGTCGGGCGACGTCGACGACCCCGCCCATCTCGACCCTTCTGCTCGGCCTCTTGAGGTAATCGGGATTGGCGTGTATCGTCACGCGCTTCAGCTGCGGCCCCGCGGCTCGGGTTTGCGGTGCTGGGCTGGCCCCGAGGCCCCTGTCTCGCGCCAACGTCGAAGCCTCCGACCGTGCGAGGCGAGCCGCCGGAGCTGGGGCAACGCGCGCAGGTCGCGGCGGCTGCGGGGGGCCGACGCCCCGGGGGCCCCGCCGCAACTCGCGGAGGACCGCAGGCCTCTCGACGCGGCGGCAAGCGGCGGTCATGCGCAGCGAGCTCGCACCAATCCGCGGCGCGCCCACGGTGTCAGTCAGCACGCTCGAGGGCGCGGCTGGCGCCGTCGGCGCCGTTCAGCTCGCTGGGCGCCCGCCGCGGATTGAGCGCCCGCGGCCAGGGCAAGGGCGGCCCCTCGACGAATAATATTGAGCAACAAAAATATCACGGCAACGACCCGTTTGAAAAAAGAAAGTGCGCGTGCAAGATTGTCTCCCAAGACCGGGCGTCTCTTCCCCCAGGAATCCGCGCGCGACAGTATCAGCGTGGCGGCGTGTAGGTATCCTCTTGCCTCCCTGCGACGCATGGCCCTCTTTTTTCCTGAAAGGGGGGGGGGGGGGCGCGACCGCGCCCAGTTGGCGCGGCGGAGGGCGCGCGCAGACACTTCAGGGAAGCTTTTATAGGACTCGCCCCTCGGCGCTGCGAACGACGGATCTGCGAGGGGCAAAACGACTCGACCGCGCGGGCCGCGCGGTCGCGCGGTCGCCAACCGCCGCCCCCCTCGCGGGCGCGACGGAAACGCCGCCTTTCGTGCCCGCGGCCCGCGGCGACGACGTCCGCGGCCCCCCACTCAGAAGTCATTGAGGCGCGCCCAGTCTCGCAGGCATCGGTCGCGACCACCTGCGGCGATTAGGGGGCATCCAGCTGAGCGCGCAGCGCGATGAGGACCCCGCGGAAGATCTTCAGCTCCTCCCGCACTGAGGCCCGCAGTGGCCGAGCGCGCTGGTAGCCCTGCTGCGCAAAGGCGTAGACGGCGCCGAAGCAGCCGGGGCTCTCGCGGGGACAGAGCGCCGCGAAGGTACAATGGCCAAGGGCGCACTCGACGTCGCGACTGGTCACCCTCGGGCGGCGCGGCGCCAAATTGCCGAGGCCCATTCACAGCTTCCAAAAGCGCCGCGGCGTCAGCGCGGGCCGCGCGGGCCAGCCCTCCATCTGCCCGCCCAACATCACCATGGAGTCCGCGACGTCGGTCTCGTCGCGGGCGGCGAGCCCGGCGGCGTCCAAGGCCCGGGGGGCCAGACGCCTGACGCGCGCCACCTCCCGACCAGCGCCCGCGACGAGCGCGCTGTCGGCGTGGAGGGAGTGGATCGGCCCCGCCAGGGGCGACGGCGGCGGCGAGAAGTCAACGGCGCGCAGCTCGGGCCCAGGGGCGTCGCAGGCGCCCAACGCGCGCCCGCTGGCCTTCTGCGCGAAGTAGGGGGCCAAGCTCCAGCCAGTCGGCGCCGCGGCCAGCTGCGAGCGCGGGGGCGCCCACGGCGCCGCGCTGCGCCCGTCCAGCCTGCCGATGCCCAGCTCGCCAGCAGCCGCCGCGGGAAGGCAGAACGGCGGCCGTGGGCGGGCGGGTGACTCGCGCTGGTGGAAGGCGCTCTGGACATCGCCCCCCGCGAAGTAGAGCGGGGTTCCCTCGGGCACCTCCATGTCCGCGAAGCCCGCGGCCAAGCAGAGATTAACTGGTGGAGGAGGCTAAGACTAATGGTGGTTCTTCCTGCTGTCGAGGACCATCCTGATTCGAGTGTCCTCCTTGGCCACGAAGAACACCCCGACGCCCTCGACCCTGGCCTTGCCAGCCACGAAGGCGCCCCTGGGGATCCCAGGCTGCGCAAATGCCACGCACATCGCGCGGTTCTTATCCCGCGCAGAGTCCATGTACAACGAGGCCCCCCCGTCCTCCTCCACGGCGGCGTCGAAGCTCGCTGGCGGCAGCAGCATGGCGTGGTTGAGGCCCAGGGGAGAACATCGATCTGCTGGCCCCAGTCGGTCAGCAAGCCTGCCAGGCTCGCCCCCGAGATGGGACCAGCTCGCAAAGTGCGGCGCATACGGCATCAGCAGAAGATCGTTCGACGTGTCACAGTGCAGACGCGGGCGGCCCAAAAGCCCTGAGCAGGCTTCCTGGGCCGACGCGCCCGCTGGGGCCTCCATCTGACGATAGAGACGAAGAACGCGTCGAAGTACAAGGTCGTCCATCTGCGAGAGGCGCCCTGGCGTGCGCCGAGGCTCGCCGTGGCCCTCGAGCAGATTGAGGCACCCCACGGTGCCCCGAGCACGCTCCTCTACGTGCTGGGCGCGCAGAAGGCGCGCCCGAAATGAGCGGGATCGCCCGGGCGGAGAACGCGGGGCAACTGGCGCAGCAGGGACAGCGAAAGGTAGCACCCCGTCACCAGCGGAAGGGGCCTGTGGTAGGCCGACAAAACTAGCTCTCGTGAAGCGGCGGACGGGCCGAGCGACCTCCCGTCTGCCGAGTCCAGTTCGCCCCTGTGCCTTCTTGCCAGCGGGGGCGCCCATCTCCCCGCGCGCCATCCGCTGCTGCTTCTGGATCTCGGTCTCCTTGGCCAACTGTTCCGTCACGTACTTCGCCAGTCCTGGCGCCAGCGCGACGCCGCGTCGGGCACGCTGCTTCGCACGCCCGACGTGTTCGACGCCCTCGATCTCGATGCTGCCCACGGTCTTCTCCACCAGCGGGCAAGCCCGAGCGGGCACCTCCATGCAGGCCAAGTCCGACCCGTCGACCATATCGCAGGTCTGAGCCAGCTCGACCGAGAGCCATTGGAGGTCGTAGAAGTGGACGGCCGCCGGGTCCATCATGCAGCCGCTCTCGCAAATCCACTTTGCTGGGCGGCCATATGAGGTACCGCCGTGCTCGACGATGTACTCGTGCAACCACCTGTAGCTGCGCTCTCGAGCCAGGGGAAGATCGTCGCGCGCTTCCTGCAGCATCTGATTCACCAGCTTGCCGAACTGACGATGGTGCCGTCCCTCGCGGTTCCTCGTCGGTGGGCATAGGAGGCGAGCGTAATCGTCCTTCTCGGCTGGATGGTGAGTGGCGGAGGCCGAGGGCACCAGCTCCGCGGGCACAGTGAAGCCAGTGGGGAGGTCGTGGAGCTCGCTCTTGCTCCAAATCACGTCCGCAACTGAGGGCGAGATCTCGTCCCTCCGCCGTACGCAGGACCTCGGCGCCCAGTCTTGCTGGCGACTCAGATGGTGCCAAGCGGCGGCGGCTCCGCGCATGCCGGCACGCGGGCGCTGACGGGCCCAGGCGGCGGCGTGGCGGCGCCCTCTACGGGCAGCGGCCCCCCGTCGTCAGACTCGCTCTCCAGTCCAGGCGGCGAAGGCACCGATGGTGGGAGAAGTGGCCCTCCCTGCACCACGGCGCTGGCGGTCGTGGGCGGATGCCCACGAGCCTTCCTGTCGAGGCGGTGGTAGAAGCCAGGGACCTCGTCGTAGCTGTCCGCCGACGAGCCGCCCAGCGCGTCACCACGACGCACGAAAAGCGAAGGCTCCGCCACGCCGAGGCCAGCAGCACGGCCATCCCGCCTGGCGGCGCACACCAAGTCCAGCGACTCGGCCTCCGTGGGGTAGCTGTGGGAGCGATACACACGCCTAGCTGGCCGCTGGCGAGCAGGCGCCGCGCCGGTCGTCACCACACCGTGTTCGGCACGCCGCCGCCAGCGCCTGAGGCGATCCCCTCGTCGGGCGTCACGACACAGGAAGCTGCTGCGCGACGACGGGCCAGATCAGCATCCGTTTGTGCCACACACCGCGGTCGCCGTCGTAGTGAAACGAAATGACACGGCCCGGCAACAGCTCACTGAAAAAACCCTCGCCTCTGCAACGCTCCCCTCCGACATGTGCAGGTGCAGACGTGGCAGAAACGCCATGTCGAAAACGACAGTGACTGCAGGCGCTGACAACCTGAGCGAGGTTCTCAGTCGACACCAATCCGATCGAGCGTACGTGGAACGAGCCCGCGTCCAGGCCCTGCTGGTCTGCTGGGCGCGCACGTCGCGCAGATGCGATGCCAACGAAGAGACCTCCGCGTGCAGCCTCGAGACGTCGTCCACGCGGTCCGAGAGGTTACGAGCGTACAATGCTGCCCGCTCCGCATCACGCGAGGCCGCCACGGCCTCCAGGACCGCCGCAGGCGGCCATCCAGGGGGGCCTCCGCCGCCGCCGCTGCGCAGCAGTCCAGGCCTCCAGGCGTCCAGTGCACACCACGCGCAGACGATCACCCACGAGGAGAACTGTGGGAGGTGAGGGCGATGAAGCATCAAATGCCCCCTGAACATAAGAAAGGCTTGAGCGGAATAGAACGGACTCTGTGCTGCACCCCCTACACGTTCGCAGGACAAGTCCCATCATCATCACCATCATCATCATCATCATCATCATCAGCATCATCATCATCAGC